TGAATGCAGTAAATAAATCATCTGGGATGTCATTATTTCCCCTCTCAAAGATCTAGCCCCAAATTCTTGCCTTGTTTATATTCCTTATGCCAGTATTGCCAGTATTGCAGTAGTGAAGGGTGGTGAAGAAAAGAAATGGTTTAAACTCATTGGGAAGCTAGATATCAAACATGTATTAGAATAAAAAAAAGGTATTTGTAATAATAACTAGGAAAAGAACCACTGAGTCTGGCCGTAAATTTCTGGGCTTTTCTAATCTCTTCAAAGTTGTGGCACAGTGTAGGCACATTATTCACTGATGCACCTCCTCTGTCCCTATCTGTCTGCCTGATAGACCATGAGCCCCTGCAGGGTAGGAGATTACATCATTTTACCTTTGTGTTCCCAGCGCCCAAGCACTATGGTGGCATAGAACTTGGAAATACTAGCGGTGGTCATTACACCAAAGCTTTCTATAGGGAGTTGAGAAAAAGTCTCTCAGCCATAGAAATTAGGAAGCTGTGAATTTGCAGCTAAGACCCGTGTTGGAGAGTACTGCCTGCCTTAGTGCGGAGCTGGTTAAAAGCAGGCAGAGGGCTGCAGGTCCAGTGGGAAAGCCTGGGCTCTTTCTACAGCCATTTTTAACTAGCACTTCCCTCCATTCTCACTTCAGAGACTCAACTTTTACTTTCATATGGCCCTCCCTCCTTTGCAGGGAGGAAGAGACACCTGCAGTCACCAGGCTCCCTACCTCCCAGGACCCCAAGGGCCAAGAAGTGAATCATTTGTACTTGTGGTTGATGGCATTCTGCATATGAATGAAATTCTTTGACAAATGTGTTACTTCTAACTTGGCACCCCATTGTAACCATTTAGGCATCACTTAGGTGCTAAGGTGCTAGAGAGCTACTCTTGGACAGATGGGTCCCTGGAGGTAGTTCATTTGCTCCACTGGTCCCACTATGTGTTTGGGGGAACTGGGCTGGGAGGGCTGCCTGTTCTGCCTAGGGAACAGAACAGCTGGACTCTTCATCAGCTTCCCTATGGGACTGCTCTTCCATTCCTGACTGGCGTCCTGTTCCATCTGCTGTCCCATCTCACCCTCACATCACATCGTTAGTCTTGTTCTCTTTACCAAGGGGCTTAAGGTTAATGTGATGTCCTAATCCTTCTCCACCAGTTTGACATTCAGTGTTCTTACTCTAGTGCAAAGGCCTCCTTAAGCCCTTTGCTGTTGGTATGAAGTGTCTGCCAAGATTTGCTCCCAGGGTCCCAAGTTCTTCAATGGCTAGGATAAGGCATAGCAGATTCCATTCAACAGACTGGTGACTGCCACTGCTTGGACTACTGGGGCTACTTTTTTTTTTTTTGTCTTTTTGAGACAGGGTCTCCCTGTAGTCCCAGCTGACCTGAACTCACTATGTAGACCAGGCTGGCCTTGAACTCACAACAGTCCACCTGCCTCTGCCTCCCGAGTGCTGGGACTAAAGGCGTGCGCCACCATGTCTGGCTATGGGGCTACTTCTTAAATGACAGAAAGAGCTACCAAGTAAGGCTGTACAGGTGGTACACTAGACAAGTGCCGCATGTAGCTCGCTCCATGTGCCAGAAGAGCATCCTAAGAGATTGCTAAATCTTTTCAATATTTGTACAAAAAATGTTTCATGGACTGGCAGGTGCTTCCTCTCCTTCCCCCATTCTCCCTCCCTTTCCTCTCTTTTTCCCTCTTCCTCCTCCTCTTCTCTTCCATCCCCCAAATTCCCATTCAGTAAGTGTTAGGTGGTACTTGGGAATGTGCAAGTTGAAAGACTTCTCAGGTGACAGTGATCTTCCCCGGAGTTGGGAACCAAGCCACAGACCACATGTGTTCCCAGACAGCTTGAATTAAATCTTGATTAAATGTAATGCTCAGTAAATAAGTGTTTCTGGCTGATTGAACCCAGAGCAGAGAGGAAGAAAGAAATATCAACCTATTTCTATCATTTTGGGGCAATACCTTATAAAGCATTTATAAAGCACTCTATTACTGCCCTGGAAATCTGCATATATACTTACACATCTATCTACATAAAATGAATTACATTTTATACTGGAAATTAAAAAAAAAAAACACATCAGATGTTGCTAAAAGCGCTTGCAATGTGATGGTAGGGAAACCCTGAGGATGATTGTGGAATGATTTGTGTGTCAGTCCCACTATCCTAAGAATAAACTCTCTCTCCTCACCTGAGTTTGGCTGCTGGACTCTGATTTTTCCTTAACAATTTAATTTGGAATTTCACAATAATTCCTTCTGACAAGCCATCTTATTTTATAGTTGTGTGTAGTATGTTTATATACACATCATATATGCACATATGTGGTATGTGTACCCACTTGTACAAAGCTGTAGGAGGATACAAGACACAGCTCAGATCTCCTAGATGGTGTGACAGTATGACACAGGCCCCAAAGATCCTGAAACATTAAAATGTGGATTTCCTCTACAATGGTATTTCTGTTTCTTTCCGATAAAAGCAATCTAGTAGCTAAAAATGTCAATGAATTAAGGTTTTAAAGATCCACATATAGTAAAAGTGCATGTCCTTTCTTTTGGCAAAGGTATATAAATTTGGGGAGAGTAGCTGGGCTATCAAATGCACCTTTTGTTTTGATTAATTTTTACAGTATTGCATTTTGAAAAATGTATTTTCCACGTAGGTAAAATAATATCATTTATAGGCGTATTTTTAAACATCCCCCTTCCTTTAGGAAAATACAAACTTTAGACAACTCTGTGAGGTTATGAATGGGACTGAGGGTGAGAAGCCAGACTTCTTGGCAGGTGAAACTGATGGTTGTTCAGGCGGAGTATTCTGATTTCCTCCCCTCTGGCTCCCTTCAAACACCCAGTCCTCAATGACCCAATACTTGGTGCCATTTTGCTAATGTGGTCAGATGGTTAATTTGGAAGGGCCTGTGTCAGATTTCACTAGTTTCTATGAAGAAGACTCCCTGCTGTATCAGACTGAACCTGTCCAGTGAGCATTCTTAACAGAGCAGTTACAGTAATCTCAGCCATGGAGAAGAAAGGAAATAGATTCTTGTATGTCCTGCACTCATGTTAATTATTTGGCCCCAAATCTGGTTCCTTAGTGAGAAGCAAATCCTCCTTCCTGTTGAAAAAGGTTCTAACAAAGAGTTTACACAAAACAAATGTATCAGTTAACAACAACAACAAAATGTCTACTTGGGACTGAAAATGAAATGACACCTGTGTAAACACTACATAGTCTGTTCTTTTTTTTTTTTTTTTTTTTAAGAGATGTGAATGCATCTGTGCCTGTACTTTATTTTTTAATGAGAAAACTTTTTTTTTTTTTTTTTGTCTTTTTGAGACAGGGTCTCCCTGTAGCCCCAGCTGTCCTGGAACTCACTATGTAGACCAGGCTGGCCTTGAACTCACAGGGATCCGCCTGCCTCTGCCTCCCGAGTGCTGGGATTAAAGGCATGCGCCACCACACGAGAGAAAATTCTTAATTCTTAGTCCAAAAGTGGCTGTTTTCAAAACTTCTGGAACTTTCCTTTTCTCCACAATTGTGTGCTTAAATCATATATATTCTGAGGGTGGGGGAGCAACTTATCAGCAAGTTTAGAGACTGACAGCTGTTTATACACCAACAGTCCTTACAGAAGACCCAGTGAAGTGAGGCTTTGGGACCACTAGGCTGGCCTGGGAGTGATAGAGATGTAAAATACAGGCCATAAGGCAAAGAGACAATGGGGGGGAGCGGGGGGGGGGGGGGGGGGGGGGGGGGGGGGAGAGAGAGAGAGAGAGAGAGAGAGAGAGAGAAAGCAGGAAGCCTCTTCCCTTTTAGAGAAGCAGGCCAGTCACAGATGGGCAGAGGATTACAAGATTACATTGTGTGGCAAAGTCACTGCATTCCCTCAGGAGCTTGATAGGTCTAAGGCCAGATGGGATAATTTGTCTTACCCCATGACCCAGACTGTGGAATGCAGTGAACACATTTTCTGGTTGGTTTCAGGCCAAGTCTTCTCTTGCTTTTCTCATGGGTGCTAGAGTGTATCTTTTACTGGATTGTTCTAAGTCACTGAAGCAGGTAGACACCCAAGCTGTGACTGGTATGTCCAGGAACACCTCCCACATAGCAAAAGGTATGACCTCTCCAGTAGGAAAGTCCTGATTTTGTAGGATTAAAAATACTATTTTGTCTAACTGATATCACTGATAAATTAGTACTGGTCAGTCCATTTGAGAACGCAAGAACCCAGGTGAAGTCACAATGTGATTTAATTCCTAATACGATCCAGCTTTAGCATCAGTGATGGAGAGTTGACTAGGGCATGGGAAGGTGGCATTTCATACTGTAAAGTAAGGTTCACGAATCAAGAAGGAACTACAGGAGCAGGTCCTTATGTCTGTGGGGTCCTCCTACAGACAGAAAATGAAGTTCGTTGTGCCAGTGTGGCCAGCCATCTCCCAAGGTGGCTCTCTGTATAAGTGCATGATAGTCTATCCACAACCAGAGAAACTTTCAACAAATTCTAGGGTGCTGACAGACACTCCTGAAAAGGTTGATGGTGACATGCTGTGCTTAGGGTTCTGAAGACTGAATGTGGCTAAGTTAGCAATCCTCCCCAAATTGATATACAGATTAAATCTCCTTAAATTTCCATCATACTTTTTTGTAGGTATTGACATGTTGATCCCCAAGTTCTTATGGGAATTCAAGAGACTTGAAACAACCCTGAAAAGGAGCAAAGCTGGAAAACACACATTTCTCTTAATTTGAAAACCTCCTACAAAGTCACAGTAAATCAAGCTGTATTGTACTGGTGTAAGGATAAGCAGACCAATGGGATTGAACAGAGAGTCCAGAACTAAGTCTCACATTTATGGGAAATTGACTTTTGGCAAGGAGGCTAAGGTTGGCCATTGTGTGTTTCTCTGAAGAAGCAAGCACAGCACTGGATACCATGCTGGAGGTCTTTCCTTTCAAATACTGGCCCTTGGCTCTCACCTGACCATCCAGGAAGGCAGCGGCAATGCCCAGTGGTGGGGTGGCAGCCATCTGCATGGCTACAGTCACAGCGCTCAGCACAGTTCAGTCCATATGTGCCATCCTGCAAAGAAGAGAGCATCAAAGCCAACCATGACAACTGGGGAGGGTCACGGCCAGCCAGTTCTCTGAAATGCCTCTCAGGACCTACATTGTATCATCTCTCCCATGTTTTCTCAGCTCCCCAAATCCAGGATCAAGGAGACCACCATTTCAGAATCACCCAGACTCTACTTATATATAACCTGATAGTTGGAACATGTACCTGGTGAATATGCCAACACATTAATATACATATTAATAAACATAAACATGCTGGATGACTAAAGCAACCTCTTCTTATCATTAGCTGCAACTCATAAAAGTATTTTCATTTGTCTCTAATGATCCTTACAGCATAGTCCAGTGTTCCCTACAGTTCTCATCCTTAGTGGAATGGGAGGGCTCTGGCCCACATAACAACAGATAGACCCTTACTAGCTAGATAGATAGATTAGATGATTGGTGGACAGATGATTGACAGATGACAGATTAGCTAGATGATAAATAAATGGATAAATGATAGAGACAGATAGTAGATGATAGATAATAGGAAGATTAGATAGATGATAGATAATGAGTAGATGATGATTGGTACATAGATACATGATAGATAGTTACTGACAGATTAGATAGATGATAAATAGATAAATATTACATATATATTTGATTGCATTAAGTTAATTTCCATAAGCTGTTGTCAGTGGGATACATGACATAATAAAGACAGCTAAAAATCTATTGTTGCTTTCTCTAATAAACATCTTTCCAGGAAAAAAAATCTAGAGCATGTGCGATATTCTGATTCAAGATTGCATTGTACCAGCAGCTCCCTCACCAGCCCATGACATGCTAATATGAATGGTCCAACAGAGAGGAGACTCTTGATGGATGGACATGATCATTTATGAGAGAAGAATGGAAAGGCTTTCACTTGTAGTGAAAACTTTTTTAAAAAAATCCAGGCCCTAGGAATTGAGGTAGGGCACTACAAACCTCTCTGACAACCCAACTAAAGAAAACGGTGCTGTCACCGGGAACAGGGGGCATGAAAACAACATTAACAGGACCTGGGTGTTAGACGACATGATCATTTGTCTAGAATTTGTTAAGCTAAGAAATGCAATCAAAGCACCTTTTAGGCCCAACTAATGCTTGACAGGACTACATAGGAGCTGGCTCTGTTATGAAAGAAGCCACTGAACCATCAGCTTTCCCCAGTGTACTACTCATCTAATGTAAAAAAAAAAAAAAAAATGGACTGCTTGTGCAGGAATTTCTGCTTTGTTTAAAGTCAGGAAGCAGATATCCTTCCAGTCCATCTCTAAGCACCAATAATTTGTTCATGGTCTGAAGAGAGACAGCAAAGCTAGTCAAACTCTATCCTAGGGGCTTGGAGGGAGGGTACAGAAGAGCACAGGGCAGTAATCTTTTCTACTTTGGGAAATGTATTTAATAAGAAGGAAGCCCAGAGAAAGAGCCCCATGGAAGCCCTTTCTCTGAAAGGGCCCAATTCAGGGGTCACATTGTTATCTGATGATGGGGGGAGGCAGAGAACACACCCACCTGAGGGGTGCTTAATGGCCCCGGAAGAAAGCATGATGCAAACAGGGAAAGAAACCAGTCAAGTGCTTTGGAAGGAAAGGAACCAACAGGTTACTATAGAATTCCCTTCCCATTTGTGCCCTCAGCCAGCCTGCAGTAGCTTTTGTGAGAGATTTCTAATGATACATGTCTCCCAAAGTAGGTCAAGGGAAGGGAATGAGCATTGAACTAGGGAAATTGCAGGAGATTCTGGTGCCTCCAGAGATCTTTACATTAACTGAGGCTGTTTCCAAACTGTCTTTCATCACTTCAATGAACATTTCTGTGACACCAGTCACCACCCCCTTTTCAGCCCCTTGCCATTTCCCACCCCAAAGCCTGGAGATTTCCATTATAATGGAAACAAAATATGTGGAGAGTTGACAGGCATACACTGGGTGTTTGACCAATGCTGCTGCCTGGTTACCACAAAGGGATGAGTGCATAAGAAACAGAAAATGCTGGCATGGGGGTGGGAAACTGGAGTAGAGGTAAAGGAAAAGAAGGCAGGAATTCTCTCAGTGTCTGACACACTGATTTCTACATATATCCCTTTTCCAAGCCTATGTCCTCTTCTGTTCTGGTAATAGTTACTGAAGTTTGGTTCACACTTTCGATCAGGAAAACTGCAGCGAGAACTCAAGCCTCGGGTATAGCCTTCCGTGCATGCCCAGTCACAGCAGACGTACCTGGCAGGGAAGCTCGCATTTCTCCCCTCGCCATCCGGGTGCACAGGTGCAGGTCCCATCCAGGGTGTTGCAGGCACCCCTGTTGAGGCACTGGCATGTTAGGTTACAGCCAAAGCCCCAAGTGCCACTGGGGCAGCTGATGGAACAGTCCACCCCATGCCAGCCTGCATGACAAGGACAAGAGTGTGTGAGGAAGCAAAGGCGGTGGGGAGCTTTGTTGAGCCCTTCCAAGCCATGTCTTTCTTTAGAGACATCTCGGAGATGCACAACAGTGCCTCCCAGACTCAGCCCCAGTATGGCAGTCAGCCTTGTCTCTGCCACAAAAGGCCCCCATCAGAAATGAAAAGGCACCCTGAGGAGCCAAGCAGCCAACTGTGCTGTGTGATCTGTCAGCAACACCAGTGCTCCGAGCACCCCTGTGCTACTGTGAAGAGATGTGGAATGGGGGCACCTTCAATGTACAGGGATGCACAGGGTGAAATGCTGGACTTTGTTTATTTGTGGGGGAAGGAGCGAAAGGTTTCTGCTGGAAAGAAACCTTTGAAGCAATGCCGCATTCACCATGGAAAATGTGTTTCCAAGATCCTAACTGCATTTATCGTTGGACACCTTCTGGGCCACACATAAAGTCTATGCTGCCTGCATTTCTTGTCATGACTCCAAGTCAAGCCACTTGGGGGCACAGACATGTCTGCTTGTTTACCCTTCGCCAAAGTACAGACTCAGACTTTGAAAGCTGGTGGCAACTTCAGAGTTTATCCATATGAGCTTCTTTCCTGGGCTCAGGAAGGACAAGGGACCACAGGGCATGAGAGACATTGCAGTCCGCACTGAACTTCAGTGAATTTGAAGCTAGAGCCCTGGTTAAGATTCCCTTCCCATGACTTTAGGAGGTAACAGGACCAGGATCAAATAAGAGATTTATTCACCTACTCTTACCTGCCTTGCAAATACAAGACCCATCCACAGGAGAGCAGACAGCATCGTTTTTGCAGCCACATCGAGAGGAACAGTTTATCCCATAGGTTCGCAGAGGGCAGGGAGTAGAGCAGTCAATTCCCTAGACGGGCACAAATAGCAAAACACAGGCCATTTGCCAGCTGAAATCAGGCCAACACAAACAAACACAAATATACTCTGGCCATGCTAGTCCTCTCTCATTTTAACACTCTCTATATTTTTTTAAGTTGCTAAAATGTCATCTCTACACAAATTGTAGAGATTCGAGTCCAGTACCACCTGGCTTATGTCTAAGATGAAATTTTAAATGGGACCCCACCCCAAATCTGCTCACTTCCTTAGATTTGTTTTCATGGAAGAACAATAAAATGAAACTTTTGCCCTTGCTCATACAATAGATACATAAAAATAAATTTTAGCTGGAAAATTATTGTCAATAAGTGTATAAACACAAATGACACATTAGTGCCCCAATGCTTCCTGGAACTCCCTGTATAATATGTAATATTGTTAATGGGTGAATCAAAGCAATACTTAGCCAGCAGCATGATTCAATTTATCTAGCAATGAGCATTAAACACAGAACTAGGCTACCAAAGGTGACCAGAGAACGCCTCTTTTCAAAAACACCACAGACTCCTTGACAGCTAATTCTGGGGTCAGCCAAAGGATTGTGACACAGATTAGAAAACCCTGGAAGGATCCTCTGGGCTCTGACTTTACAACTCACCCCATTCATATTAAGTGCTCTGGAATGATCATCAACATTCTTTAGAGCTCAATGTTATCTTCTTTACAATAGGAGGAAATAAATCAAATCCAGCCCTTCCTCCTTCAAAACAGAGATCTTAACCAATCCCTATGGAATCCTAGAAATCACAGGCAAAATTCTGCTCTCTTGGCATCCAAGCACCTTTGTAGGGATCAGCTCTCAGAGGGACCCCCCCCAAACTGTGTGCAACTGACTACAAAGTGCAAACATATAAATGCTACCTTGGTATATGACATGTCTTCAAAATTCATAGAATTAAAACAGAAACTCTTGAAAAGGATATTAGTAGTCTCTCTCGTCCTCATGAATGATGTGAAATTTGAGCACACCCACTGAAATTTATAGTAGGTCACATAAACCATGGTGTGATGTGCTCCTCACTACACCCCTCTCCTGCCTCCAGAGCCCAAGCCACTCACTGTGAATCCTGGAGCACAGGTGCACCTCCCGGTCACACTGTCACAGTCAGCCCCGTTTTGGCAGCTGCAGATCTGTCGGCATGCTTCCCCGTAGAATCCAGGAGAGCATGTTTCATTACAATATAGTCCTGACCAGCCCGGCTTGCAGCCACACTCTCCAGACATTGGGTGACAGCTGAGAGACATGAATGAAAGGAACAAGTCACTCTGGGCTAAATATGACACTCAAGGCCTATGCAAATGTTGCTTTCACCATGATCACTAAATGTGTGCAGAACTCCATGCACAGTAATGTAAACTTTATTCTCATGGTGCTATGACTTCATTAACTGGCTATCAGTTAGTTAACCACAGAAACAGTGAATGAAATTAGCATCATGCTCTAGTCAGGTGACTATAACAACCATGTCCTTTTGTCTAAAATTCTTTTGACTTTCCTTAACTTGCAAGCACTAATTCAATAAGAAGTTGGCACTATGAGAAGCAATATGAGTTTCTTCTAAGGTCAAGTCAGTTCAGCATGCCGTGTCCAAGGAATTCCAAAACCAGTGACCTTGTACACCTGCCTGTTCTCCCAGCCCAATCCCTAGCAGCAGAGCACCTGGAACAGCAGCCGCATTGACAGACCAGGCAGCCAGCTGTTGCCCCACAGCAAGTGGACACATCAGCTGTGCTAAGATGTTCATGCAAGCAAGCTGACACAATACGGCACTCTGTGGCATGCTGGCTCAAAACACATGTGTTTCTCACTACAGGAAACCCTTGACAATCAAACTAGCTCTGCTGACAATGGGAAGACTGTGTAAAGATGGGCTTCCTTCTCTCGTGAAGTTCAAACTTTCCCCTCTACTAGGACCAACAACAAAACCTGCTGTTCCATCCAGACGTGATCTTTCATTAGAGGACGAGTCATAGCATTTGTACTCTTAGAAAGAACAATGACCTGGAAGGATGATGACAGATGTCATTTCAGTTCTCTCTCATCCTAGTGACCTCAGGGAAGGCACGGACCTTCCTCATAGTGTCATCTACTGAATGAAGGTCTCAGCCCCAGAATCTCATGGCCTACCTCTCCATTTCTCCTTTTCCTCCTTCCCCCTCTCCTTCAGAAAAAGTCTCAAGAGACTATTGCCACAGCCCTTGATTATATCCCAGAACTTGAAGCTGAGACCTCATTGCTGAAGACAGGACATACTTTGGACACAGGACTTGGAGCAATGGAGCTGGAACTGACCTGGAAGTCTCCCTGAAGCTAGCTCTCATAGTTCTAGAGGATACTATGCAAGCTGCTAAGGGAGAAAATCAATCCACTGTCCAACTCTGCTCTAAAGGATAATAGCACAATGGCTGGTTCAGAAACCATAGCAGTGCACTAGTGACACTTCTATCTTGGGGGCAATCAACAGCTGTCTAACTGGACTTAGAACCCTCTCAGCGGGAGGGAACTCATGTGTGGTACTATAAACATAGCCAAATACACATGGCTGGAGAGGTCACAGATCCTAGAGAAAACCCTATCTCAGTCATATCTCTAGATAAATGAAATTTCTTACTGTATGTTAAATATGGATCCTTATATTGACAGACAAGTATACTATACACCAGTCATCAAAGCAGCTTCTTTTTACAAACAAATGGAGGCTATTACAGAGGTCCACAACTGGTCACACACAGAGAATATATGTCTGAGAATGCTCAGCCTGAAGTGACACATCTACAGAGGAACCTCTACACCTCAGGCTTGTGGGGAATCACAGAATGAGAGGTAGAGAGAATACTAATGCAACCCTCAACTCTCACTAGTGAGACTTCCTCATAAAACAGAGCATGATGCACACAGAAGGCCACAAGTGGCTCAGGGACCATTACGAAAAGAGGTGGAAAGATTGTAAGAGCCAAGGTTGGTGCATGAACATAAGGAAACAGAGGTTTTCAAGCCTCTGGGAACTTGCTCAGATGAACTTGCAGCAATGGTGACAGCATGCACAAGACCTATGCTGACTCAATCGGACAAAAAATCCAGCATAGAACTGGGGAAATGGGCAGCAGGCCCCAACCTTAGTCGAGGAGCTATTGGCAACTAGTTACTGCTAGGTGAGGAAGAGTTGTTCTTCTTTAAGGGAGTGACTAGATACACTGACTAGATTCTAGTGAATGAACTTGCACAGAAGGACATCTGGGTACAAAAGCTTGACCAGATAGGGCTTAACATAAATGACAAAATGTATGGTGGGGGTATGGGGGGGTTGGGAGAGGAGGGCTAAATACGATTAAGATTTATTGTATGAGGGGCTGGAGAGATGACTCAGAGATTAAGAGCACTGACTGCTCTTACAGAGGACCTGGTTTCAGTTCCCAGTACCCACATGGTGGTTAACAACTGTCCATAACTGTAGTTCCAGGGGATCTGAAGCTCTCTTCTGACCGCCATGGGCATTGCACCATATAGGTACACCTACCTACATGCAGGCAATATACTCACATATATAAAATAAAAATAAAGTAAAATATTTTTGAAAAAGATTTATATGAAATGCACAAAACTCAATAAATATGTACATTAAAAATAGTAATAATAAAATATTTTTTACAAAAGAAAAGAAAAAGCCTGGAGACTAGACAGTTTGATCCTCATTTCCACAAGTTTATTTAAACATACTTTCAGACTCCAGTACAATTAACTAACCACAGGCAAAAGCTTAGAGTTCCAGGACAGTCATGCTCAGGAAACATGGCATGAAGGGAAGCCCAAATGCAGCTGCTCGGTGAAGAGGATTTCCTGAGGGGAGAAGGTTCAGATTCACAAGACAAGGGCTTGCCTCTCGGATCTTCTCAGATCTGGTGTGTGACGAGATCTACGTCTCTGCCATCCTCAGGCAAAGTGCTTATTCTTGAGCACACACCTGGTGTCTGTGTGGCACCTCAAGCTCACCATGGCAGAAACAGCTGTTTCTCCCTCCTTTGTCTCTCAGTATCCACTAGTCATCTCTATTTCTGTATATGGGACCACTGGCCCCTATCTACCTGGACATTACTTGGTTGGTTGGATTCTCTCTCTCTCTCTCTCTCTCTCTCTCTCTCTCTCTCTCTCCTTTCTTTCTTTCTTTCTCTCTCTCTCTCTTTCCTCCCTCCCTCCCTCTGTCCCTTCCTTCCTCCCTCCCTTCCTTCCTTTTTTCTTCATACAGGACCTTGCTGCATAGCCCAGGCTAAGCTCATATTCAAAAATCCTCTTCCTTTGCCTCCTCAGTGCTGAGATAAGAAGCACGTGTGTCCATGCCCAGCTAAGAATTGTTCTTGATAACTCTTTCAGCCTCATCTCCCATATCCAATTTATACTAGGATTTAACCACTCTAACTCAGAAACATTTTGAATGTATGCACATCTCTATACTGTTCTACACCCTGCCAGTGTCTGGACTGAAGAACCTTCCAACGCTCCTCCCTGTATCCACACATGCCTCTTCACCTTCAGAGTCTGACATTCCGTGTCACTCTCCTTAGACCTTCTCAAAGGCTCCCCACTACATGACACTGGAATAAAATCTACACTGTTTTAACACAGGCAGCATGGCTGTATGATTTGTTGTCCAGACAAGAACATTTTTTTGTTGTTTTTATTGAATATTTGTGTATTTCACACAGAACACCTCAACCAATCTTAATCATCTTCATACCTCCGTCCCCACCAGCACCCTCCCATAGCCCCCGCACTGGAACCCATATGCTCTATCATCCATGTTAAGGCCCAATGTGCCAAGTCAATGTCCCCAGACGTTTCCCAGTACAAGTCTATCCGCTGAGATCTAGTCTAGACAATAACATTTTCAAGAGAGAAGAGAGGACACCAACACCTTCCCCAGGATGACAGGTGTGCCTAGCTTGCCCTCAAGGTATCTGGCCATTTCCTATTCTCCACCTTCTCCTTGCTTTCGTGATTTTCACAATACTACTACGCTGAGTGTTTCTTTCAGCTTGCAGTATTTTCCACTTAGGGCTTCCACAGAAGGCATCTCCCCAACTCTTTGCTTCTGCTCCTCTTCATCTTGTCCTTCCAGTCTTTGAGTCTCAGATCTTCTTAGATCTGCGCTTCTCCTTCGCAGAGGCCTCCTTCCTCTGGCTACCTGGATTCTAAGGAGCCCTGTCCAGTTATCTTTCACTGCTTCCGAATCCTCCTCCTCTCATTTCTCACAGTCTGCAGTTCACAGTCCTTTAACATCTTTCTTCCTGTCTAGACCGTGAGCTCTGTGAGAAGAGTTAAGCCTGTTTTGGCACCCATTCCCAGCACACAGTAGGCCCACAGCAAAGACAACACAGTGAATAAGTGAAAATGGCACAGCTGATGTAGAGGATCCAACTCCAGACCTGGCTTTTGTCCAACAACCTACTTTTCTCTTGCATGTCTAAAGCATTGCCCAAGGCTGAACAATAGAAAGTATCCAAACGCAGTATCTATGTCTAAAGACATATTCCCCTAAACTTTGTTTCAAAAGTGCTAGTATTGATTAAAGGGAATTGTCACTAATTACAGAGAAATGTGTAATATTTGTGAAGCTAGGTTAAGTGAATGCACAGATTAGCAGCTAGTTTTTGACAGAGCACCAAACAGGTGCCAGCACCCTCCTGAAATATCGACATGTGTCATTTAACTCAGTTCTCATGACCATCTTAAAGAGGCAGGTATGGTCTCATTTATAAATAAGGAAACAGGCTGAGAGATGGCTCAGCGGTTAAGAACACTAGCTGTTCTTACAGAAGACCCGGGTTCGAATCCCAACACCCACACGGCAGCTAACAACTGTCTGTAACTCCAGTTCCAGGGACTCCAACAGCCTCTTCTGTCCTTCGTAGGCACTGCATGACACAGGTGCACTTACCTACACACAGGCAATACACACATACACATAAAATAAAAATAATAAAAAATACATACATACATATATATATATATATAGAGAGAGAGAGAGAGAGAGAGAGTAAGACTTATTCAGTCTCACATGGGTAGTGGCAGAATCAGACATCAACCCAGGTTTGTCTGTTTTGACACCAAAGGAAAAGGAAATTTGCTAGCAGCCTTCAAGAGGAACTAGATATAAAAAAGAATAGCTAGCTGGGCAGTTTGGTGGCGCACACCTTCACTTCCAGCTCTCAGGAGGCAGAGGCATGTGAATCTCTGTGAGGTTGAGGTCAGCCTGGTCTACATAGCAAGTTCTAGGCCAGCTGGGGCAACAGGGAGGCCCTGTCTCAAAAACAGAGTTGCTAAACTTTAGTGATAAAAGGCCAATAGACAAATTTATATGAGTAAAACCCTATGTTTGAGAAAAGGAAAAGAAAACATTTCAAGTAATGAGTTAAGGCAATTTGCCTTAACTACCTACTCTACAGGAAAGGACAGTTAGGGAAGAAACCCTGTGTTACACTGAAAAGCAGAAATAGTATTCATGATGTAGACATTCATGGTCAATAGAGATCCTAGTATTCACTGTCCCCTGGTGAGTTGTAGCATAGCACAGGACTTCTCACCTTGACTGACACCAAGATTAATATTCTGCAATTTGCAATCAAATGTAGGAAGCCAGAGCACTTTGGAGGCATCAGATGGGCTCTCATGCAGGCAGATTAATTGATGAGACTTATGTGTTAAAGAAGACTGAAGGTATAGGAGGGACATACTTAATACCTGCTTTCTGTCTAAAGAATAGATTACACATGAAAATAGGATTGTGCACATAGGGAAATATTTCCATTTTACGCACACATATAACCACACATTTTTTTTAGTGGTTCTTCAATTTAATAGCTAACTTATAACAAGAGTCCAATCCTACATAATATTGTCTACAACAAAGTTGGGGCTTGGTGATATGGGGCTGTAATCCCAGCTATCAGGAGGCTGAGACAGGAAGTTGAAAGTTCAAGGTTTGCTAGGGCTGTATAGTAAGCTCAAGGCAACGTGTGAGAACCTGTCTCAAAATAAAAAACAAAGAAAGAGCTGGGATGTAGCCTAGCAGTAGAGTACTTGCCTAATATGTGAGGTCCTGGGTTCAGTTCTCAATACTGAAAAAAATTGACTAAAATAAGATGAGTCATTGAGCATCTTTTTATTCATTTTCTTAGAAGCTATCTATGCTCAAAAACAAAGGCAAGTAGGTGGTATTTGTACAAAGGACACATCCTGATTGCTAATGGCTGCTGAGGGTCCTTATTACCAAGATCTGAGATACCTATGCCATGTGAAATCTGATTCATCTCTTCAGCCCAAGGTTCATTTTCCTGCTCATAATGATTTCCACTAGTTTTCTGTTGAAAAGCCTAGGTTGATGAAATATCTTCAGGTTTAATAATAGTGTTAAAATTTAAAGTACTAATATTACTTGTAAATACATTTAAATGAATTTCAACTCTATGATAGATTACAAAAGAAAATGGCTATGATTTTTTTAACTCCCCTGATCAAGAAATGGAGTCAGCCAAGCATGCTGGCTTATGCTTTTCATCCCAGCACTCGAGGGAGAGGCAGGCGACTCTGTTGGAGACACTACTTTGCCTAAATTCTGCTGGAAGCAGGCTTGACCATGTGCAACAGCTCCTCCAGGTAAGAGTGACTCTGTGGCAAAAGCTGCACAGGCTCACGTACTGAGGCAGACGAAGGGGCACAGTGCCCCCACCCCAAAGTATATGAGGAAATAATGCTCTAAGCACTGCCACTGTGCCTTGTTATCCTTAGCTAGTCTTCACTGTGGTGAGCAAATTCTTAGCTTCAGAATAACACACCGAGAAGTCTTGAGGAAGTTTTCTCAGGACTGACTGTGTAAAAGTTACATTGTTTGCTCTGCTTACACAAGTTAAAGCAATAAATACACAATGGGACAAGATCGGGGCCTCTGTTCCCTCAACAGAGAGTCTCCTGGTCCCCTACTCTTGAGAGTCTTATCAAGTGCTTTCATTCTTTCATCGTCTTTGAGGGTTTTCTGAACCTCTGCCACACTGGACACAGCATGGATCTGTGGCCAGCCTGGTCTACGTAATGAGTTCCACGCCAACCAGGGCTACATAATGAGTGTCTTTTTTTTTAGACAGGGTCTCCCTGTAGCCCCAGCTGGCCTAGAACTCACTATGTAGACCAGATTGGCCTCGAACTCACAGAGATTCTGCTGGGATTAAAGACATGCACCACCACATCCGATGAGACCTTCTCTTAAAGACAAAAGTGGAGCATATTAAATCTGGATCTAGTCATGTCTCTTGCTTCATCTTATAAACAAATATTAGAAAACACGACATAACCAAAGGTTTAACAAGTGTTTGAGTGGTAGGCCTTGCCCTGCTTGTTACTATCTTTAGAAGCAGGGTGTATATAAAGAATCCAGGCTAGCTTGCTGTAGATATCATGTGCTCAGTCCTTTTTGTCATCCAGCTAAATGCCAGACATGGAGTAAGGCTCTCCAGTTCAATCAACCTCCAATGCCGGCTGAACACAGGGACGGCAGCAGAAGAGCCACCAAGCTGAGTTAAAAGCAAACAGTAAAAAGTCATCAGGTAATAAATAAGCAATGTTTTAGGCTGCTAAGTTTGGCATCATTTATTTTGGGAATGCAGTTAATGCTAACAAAACTTATCTCCTCAAACACGTGGCTGTCATATGTCAATATGTCCATTTACTGAACTCAAAATTTACCTAACGACAATGTAAACAATTAATTTACATTGCACTAGATATATTATTAATTATATTCCAAGGTTTGGGGATAAATTTATATTATGAATTATATGATGGCAAATCTCTGCTGGCTTCATGAGATGATAAGGAAACAAGTTAGGCTTCCAATTAAACCAAATTCCAACCGATGGCCTTGTGTTTCCAAGAATTCTATATGGATGGATGTTCACGGTGTAGGAATTAACAGATGGCTCCAGCCCTTTAGTCAGCATGACAGATGCATGTAATCCATACTCAACTTTAGCAGAACTTTGTAAAAGCTAATCTTTAGAAACAGCTTTTGGGGCTGGAAAAATGGCTCAGTGGTTAAGAGCACTAGCTGCTCTTGCAGAGGACCTGGGTTCAGTTCCCAGCACCCATACGGTGGCTAATAACGATCTCTAACTCCAGTTCCAGGGGCTCTGATGCCTTCTTCTGGCCTCCACAGGCACTGCATGCACAGGTGTACTTAGATGCATACAGACAAGTTACTCATATACATGTATATATATAAACAAGTAAATAAAAATAGCTTTCATGATTTAGAGAAGTATTTAAATTGCTTTTAAATTGTATGAATATCTGATAAGCATTATTATCTAGATTTTAGTGTCATTTTGACTTATGTAATTGCCAGACAATTTCATGAACTTCTCTGTTAGCATATGGGCCCATGTCAGAAGTCTGGCAGTACTGGCATCAATCAAACAGCCCCGCATGTGCATCTAGCTCCTGCTGACATGGTGTCTAGCTCCGCCTCGTCTCCACGCCTCTCCCACTGTTCTTACGCAGAGTGCTTCTTTGTACAGGTTTGTTGCTCTGCTAGATTTCAGCTGTGTCCACACAAGGACATAGTCACCGGTGATAATGCCCTCAACTGTGCTACTCAAGGCTTAGCTTACTGCAAGAAAGGAAACAAGACTTGATTTGTCTCTAAATCATGCCAGCTCCTTCTACATTATTAGAAAGTTGAAAAATAAAACTGTAGAGATTTTACTCCTTAAGTATCTATCTAAACTTGTTATGTAAGGAATGGCAATATTTTCTAAGAAAGGATATCAAGGATTGACTGACGTGGCTTACAAACTTTCTTTAATCACTTTGAGAATATACTTCTTTTCACACACACACACACACACACACACACACACACACACACATACACACCACAATGCAAAGTTCATTTTTTTCCCCCTATTCTTAACAATGGCTTAAAGAATTGACCAATCGCATACCTCTGTTTCCCTCTAGCTTTTTGCACATTTGGGATTTGATGTGGCTATGAGCTACCTTTCAGAAGTATAAATGAAATACCATCTGTGCTGATTGCAAATAAAAGTAATCCTAGTAACATCTGAACTGCTGTAAACTGCACTACATTTTTGTCAAATGAATCTTTTCCAGAAGTCTGCACACAAGGTGGGAATTCTGTTATGTGTATCTGGTCCTTGGAGGAAGGGAAAGAAAAGAACAGACAAGGTATAGCAGAGTGGGTAGAATTGTGGTTTCCTGTTTCTAAAGTCTTGGAGAGATTTCTGAGCTAAAAGACCCCTGCAAGTTTTGTCAGCATAATCAATCCTGAAAGATATTTTCACACGATAGCCACTCTCACAGCCTTCCACAGGTCACTTCCTCCCTGCAGCCATGTTTTTCTTTCACAGATGTGTTGTCAAGTAAAACATGTTGCTGAGAGCATGATATTTTCACATCCTGAACTTGGCTTAACCACTTGTCTCTCCATTGGTTCTTGCTTCTGAAGGATATCATACAACCCTTCTCTTAAGGGAAAGATTTACCCAGTTCAGCAAAATCATCTTTATTAGTACCCATCTATAGATAAAAGAATTTAATATCCAAAACAAACAATAAGTTTAGCCTTTCTGTCATGGGCTGCTAGTCACTGGGTGAAAAACTGGTCCTTCAACTTGAAGATTTCTGTCTAGGAGAGGCTAGCATTGCTGATCTCCAGATGCTGATGTTAAAACTAATAGAAAACATTCCAGAGGCAGCTGACACTCACCTATGAGTGTTGTCCAGGTGGCAGGGGCACTGCTTGTCACATTTGATGCCGTAGAGCCCCTCAGGACACAGACGTGCCTCACAGAGTTCACCTGCAAAGCCTGCTTCACAGAGGCATGCCCCACTCACATGGTAACACTTCCCTCCGTTGACACACTGGCAAGACTCAGCACAGTGAACTCCGTAGGTCCCAACAGGGCATTCATCCTGACACCTATTCAAGCAAGAGGACAACAGTCGGTTCAGAAGGACCTAACTACACACAAATTGACATGCTTTTTGAACTCCATGTCATTTTATGATTGCTCTATCACAAGCCGAAAGTACAGAGGGAGAACATTCTGGATACAAGCACCAACAGCAGAAGCCTGCGGAAGGAAGAAATAACAGAAACAAAGATTTGAGGAGCTCAAAGCTACTACAACCAGAAATCCTCCATTCCAGTTTGTAGGTCTTAGGAAGGTTTAGAGTTTCGAACAAAATTTTTGGCAAATGGGATATTGTTCTCTGTTGTGAAAAAATGCCACATGACAAGGAAAAAGATCAGACCAAAATTTCACTTTTTTGTCTTAAAGAAAGAAAGAAGGAAAGGAAGGCAGGAGAGGGGAAGAGAGGGAGTGAAAGAGGGAAGAAGGGAGGGAGGAAAGAAATGTCAGAACTCTGCCCTGCAGGGAAAGGATGCTTTGGTAAGGTGAGCGAGGTGAGAAGCTGATCACTGAAGGAGTGAAAAGAGGAGTCGTCATTGCTCAGTGGAAAGCAAGTCGTCACTGCTCAGTGGAAAGCATGGGGTTCACCAAGTCTTCTGTTTAGAGGTAACAGGCGCTCTGTAGCACAAGGGGAGCTTTCCGGCAAGAAGAGGGAAACAGGGTTTCATCTAGTGGAGTGTTCATCACAGTAGGGGACACTGTCTCAGCAGTCACTCTCCATGTGGCTTTCCAGTCACACCAGACTCTGATCAAAAATACAGGTCAGTGTTGCAGTTGTTAGAGCTGTGCAGTGCAAACAGCAAGGCATGTCTGAAAACAAAGACAGAAAAATGTGCCTAGAAGAAGCAACCCTTCCACAAGGCTTGGCATATTTTTAATGATAGGGTGTGGTGAATGCCAATATAGGGATTGTAAGTATAGAGGGAAGATTCTGGAATCTTCTGACACTTTGCTGGTTAACTCTGGCTCTATCATGTATTAAATATGACAGAGGAGGGGAGAAGGTTCTCCTATAGGTGGGTGTCCACTGGTTCTAGACATCTTCAAGTGCATTTGTCAGTAGGCCAGCCTTCAACTGTTTGACCCGTAAGAAGTCCTGTAGTACCTGAGATTATACTTAGCATCGAAATGCAGACTTTAGAGCTACATGTAAGTATACCTATTTTTAGACCGGAGTATTTCTTTTTATAAAGGTCCTCAATATTTTTAATGTGCAAGCTTTGATAAACCAAATCATCTAATTAGTTTTTAAAGATGGAAACTTTAAAGTCAAATCTGGAGGTGTAGAGATTTGACCTAATCGAGGCTTGAGCTGAAGGTTTGCAGGGCAGCTTTTCAATATGTTTGTTTGGATGTCCTTGTAACCCAATGCCAAGAGAAAAAGATAAATAATATCACCTTTTCTCTCTTATATGACTTTGTAAACAAAAAAAATGCTAAACTTTGGGCTGGTAAGATGACTCAGTGAGTAAAGGTGCTTCGTGACCTGAGTTCAATCCCTAGAACCCACACAGTAAACAGAGAGAACCGGCTTCCACAAGTTGCCCTCTAACCTCCACACAGGCACAGTGGTACTTAATGCCCCCACCACCCTGCCCCAACAGACACAATAAATAAATAAACATAATCAGAAAAAACTGCTAATCATTGGATTATCTGCATGATTTTAATGTGGCTAAAAGCACAGCTCTAAAAGTGGTTGGAAGTCTGGGACAGTATCTATCACCACATCACAGAGAGTTGGTCCGTGCAATTCATTGTCTCTTGGCAGAACTTTTCTCTTCTCTTGGAAAGCAAAATGTATAATAGCTGGTCCTGGCCTATATTTTCCTTTCTAGCCTGTAATTAAGCACACTAGTAGTTTCTGGTATAAATACAGAACAAATTCTCTTGAATTTTCTTTCTAAAGCAGTCACTGTGGCAGCTGGCTCTTTGGGTCAGTGCCGCGCTTCTAGGAGAATCCTGTCAGTGATAGCTGTGCATTCCACCTTCCAAACCAAAATAGACGGATGTCTTTCTAGAGGCAGAGGCATGATCCTTATTCTTCCTATCACTATTTTAACCAAATTACAAGTTACGGTGTAATAATTTAATACAAGTATACGGGACATTTTCTATCTTAAAAATAAACATTATAATAGAGTAGCTATTCCTTCATGGAGTCTTTTTTAAAATGGAGCAGCACTTCCCGACTTCTTCTCTACCTTTAATAAGCTGATTTTTTTTCTTTCTTTCTTTTTTTTTTTTTTTTTTTTTTTTTTTTTAAACAGGGTTTCCCTTTAGCCCCAGCTGTCCTGGAACTCACTATGTAGACCAGGCTGGCCTTGAACTCACAGAGATCCACCTGCCTCTGCCTCCCGAGTGCTGGGATTAAAGGTGTGCGCCACCACGCCTGGCTAATAAGCTGCTTTTCTGGCCCCATGTGAAATAAGAAGTTATCTCAGAAATCAGTACCACGTTTTCTTCTTTTTTCAAATTCAGCTTTTGTTTATATTTTTCAGTTGATACAATTTCTTAATGTATATAAATTTAGGGGGAAAATCTAACTGTTGGCACAAGAACCTTTGAATTCAAATTAAAAATCAAGATTATTGTTCATGAAATGTTATAGATTTTTCTTACTGAACAGTTTTCAATTTTTGTTATACCTATTTATTCAGTTTTTGTTTTGCTATGTTTTTTCTTTTGTATTTTCTTTTACTTTTAAATTTTTGTTGAATTTTTGTGTATTTCATACAGAAAATCATCTTTATACCCCCTTCCCCATTGGCACTCTCCCATAGCCCCCTCCCCGACTGGAGTTCATACATTCTGTCATTTGTATTAAGGTCTATCATGTAAAGTTAGTGTCCCCAGGTGTCCCTTAGTGCAAGTTCATCCACTGGAATGTAATCAGCCTATCTAGAGTCCCTCCCTTTAAGAAGATCAGTTCTTCCTTACCCGCTGCCAATAATTCTTCAGCCAAGATTGCGGCCTGCTGTTCATTTCCACGGTTTTGTGCTGGGTTTTTGTCTAAGTTTGCATGGGTCTTGTGCATGCTGACACCATAGCTGTAGGTTTGTATGAGAAGGGTCCCAGACACCTGTAGAATTATTTCTGTATGGTCATGCACCTCCTCCCTGGTTCTTACAATCTTTCCATCCTCCTCTTCCACAATGGTCCCTGAGCCCTGGGTGGGTGGATTTTAATACAGGGAGTCCTGTCCAAGGATCCATTCTGCACTCTTCATCTCTGTGTTTCAGCCATTGGTGACCTTTTGTGCTCCTGGTCGTCTGTTGCATGAGGGAGCGTCTTTGATGAGAACTGAAAGATGCATTAGTGTTCTCTTCATCCCTGTTCAATGTTCTGTGAGTCTTAGGTGTAGAGGTTGCATCCTAGATGTGCCACTTAGGCTTGGGCAATTCACAGACAATCTCTGTGTGAGACCAGTTGTGGAATTCTGTAATTATCTCTGTCTCTTGAAAAAGACGCTTCTTTGATGGGTGGTAACTGGGATACCTGTCTATAAATTTAAATCCATATTTTGTACATAGTAAGAAATTACATTTGTCTAGGGATGTAACAGCCTGGAGTTTTCTCTAAGATCTGTGACCTCTCCAGCTATGTGAATTTGGTTAGGTTTACAGTACCACATGTGAATTTCCTCCCATTGAGTGGGCTTTAAGTTCAATTAGGTAGCTGTTGTTTACTTCCAAGATAAAAGTGCCACTACTGTACCAATGTCATTTGCTATGCTGGTCATCGATATAGTTTTTAGGCCTTGAAGCTGGGGTTGGACCATTGATTCATGTTCTCCTTTAGCAACTTGCATAGTGCTCTCCAAAGTTATAAGAACTGGCCTTCAGGGGAGGTGGCTTCTAGGTCAGTTCTAGCTCCATTGCTCCAAATCCTGTGTCCAAAGTATGGCCTGTCTTCAGCAATAGGGTCTTACCATCACATTCTGGAAGGCAATCAAGGACTGTGGCAATAACCTGTGTAATTTTTGGAGTCTCTTGGACTACCCTGGCCAACAACTCAAAGGAAGGTTTCTCCTGTCTGGCACTTTTCTTGTTATGTGGCCTTCAGCTATGCTCACAGACTCATGTAAGGATACTGTATGTGCAATTAATCAATAGGTTTTTGGACTAATACAATTCCCTCTGGTTTTTATACTAGCTAGGCACTATTTATCTCTCCTCTCTCTCCCTGTCTTATCCTCTCTCCCTGCCCGCCCCATTTAAAGTGTCCCCATTTTCCCCATTTCTCCCTGATGATTTCTGTCTGCTATGGTCCCACCTCTCTTGAGCTCCTTCTTCCTCTTTATTCCCATAGTTCTTTGCACAGCCCTCCTTCTCCGCTCCCCTTTAACCATACCCTTTTAATACATTTCTCCCTTAGTAGCTACTGTTTCCTACTATTCTTTTCTCTCGAGGTCCTTCTTTCCTTTTGCCTCCCTGGTTTCCTTCCATTTTCCTGGTTCCTGCAGTTACATCAGGATATGCACTCACTTATAAGGATTTGATGCTAGGATCCACAAATGAGGGAGAACACATGTCTTTTATTTTCTGTGTCTGTGTTACTTCACTTAGTATAACAGTTTCTTGATTCATCCAATCATCTGCAAATTTAATTATTTCATCTTTCTTTACTTCTGAGTAGAACTCCATTGTGTAAATGTACCACATTTTCATTAACCACTCGTCAGTTGAGGGGAACTTAGGTTGCTTCCATCTCTTAACTACTGTGAAAAGAGCAGCAACAAATATGGTTGTACAAGTATCTCTGCAATAGGATGAATCCTTCAGGTATATGCTAAGGAGTGGTATAACCGGGTCATATGGTAGGTTCATTTTTAGTTTGTTAAGAGTTCTCCACACTGCTTTCCATAGGGGTTGCACGAGTTTGCAATCCCACCAGCAGTTCTCTAATTTTAGCCAGTCTGATTGGAGTAAGGTGAAATCTCAAGGTGGTTTTTATTTGCATTTCCCTAATTACTAACGATGTTGAACACTGTTAAAGATGTTTCTTAGCCATCTTTATTTCTTCCTTTGAGAACTCTCTGTTTAGATCTTTAGCCCATCTTTTAATTGGGTCATCTGTTTTGTGCTTTTTGAATTCTTTACATAGTCTGGAAGTTAAATCTCTGTCAGATGTGTCACTGGTGAAGATTTTTTTCCCACTCTATGGGTTTTCTCTTTACTTCTTGATTGTTTCTTTTGCTGTACAAAGGCTTTCTAGTTTAATGAGGTTCCACTTGTTGATTGTTGACCTTAATTCCTGAGCAACTGGTGTCCTTTTTAGAAGGTCCTTTCCCACACCTATATCTTGAGATAACTGCCAATGTTTTCTTCTAGCAATTTCAGAGTTTCAAGTTTCACATTGAGGTCTTTGATCCATTTGGAGTTGACTTTTGTGCAGTAACACATTTTCTTAAGAAAGATGGCAGAGAAGTATCAACGACAGCAATAAATATAGTGGAAATGTAGAAACTGTAGATTTCTACTTTTAAAGAAATGTATCATAATGCTCTAAAATTGGGATGGATACAGATTGAGTAGAGAAAAACTAATAAAACACTAAGGAAGTGAGTTAGAGGAGGTGGCAGCTCCCTCTTACTCTTTACAGCACGTCCCTCCCTATAGTATCCTGAATGACTGGGCCAAAGCCTGATTTAGTGTGAAGAATCACATTCTTCATTAGACTGGACTCGATGGTAACATCTGGAACTGCTGTCCTGGGGAAATGTCAAAAGCACTGGGAAGGAACCAGTTCTTACACAGTCATAGAGAAAGGAAAGTGCTCCGACCCTGTAGACTAGGGCTACTTCCCCCAGTGCTGGTCTGCAGTTCCTGACTCTGCCCCCTTTACTCACATTTTTCTTTGCTTTCAGGGTCATATGAACACCAGCTTGGCAGTGCTGTCTTGACGTTCAACTTAACAGACTCCATTACTGAGCACTCTGTGTGGGCATGGAGCCATAGCTACCATTAGAGGGTCACAGAGCAATTCTGTGACACACCTTTAGCACCTTTCTTAAAATCTTCAGAAGAACTTTGTGACGATCTAAAAACTGTCTTCATTCTTACTGACTTTACCATATTGCATCTTCTCACCGCAATATCCTCTGGATCTTTCCACAAATCCCAAAGCCTCTTATTTGTCATCCCTCGTGTAGGCCCGCCAGCCTGCAGGGAGCACCTTCGGTTTTCCTGTGGTGTCCCCACATCCTGGAAATGTTTTCTAGCAGCTGCCTGTGGTGGTTCCCGCTCTGGAGCAGCCCTCCTTCCTAACCACAGTGATCCGGTATGCTGATGTCTCGAAACAAGGGAAGGAACACTTATCATCCCCACCTTCAGGCCTTTTCCCCAGTTTCTGCCACAAACTGCCCCACAGCCACTCACTGTTTTTCTTCCTAAGGAATAACTTGCTTGCTGTCATCATATGGGGTGTGTGTGTTAAGCCTTAAACAGAGATGGGGCTAACAAAGGAAAACAGGAGCCACACCATCAGCATCTCCACTGCACCACAAAAACCACGACTGCGGGAGCAACTGAAGAGTCAAGCCTCCCCTCTGCCTCTTCTCTCTCTCACTGAAGCTTTGCTGTCCTTGCTTTTCTAAAACTTACCTGAAAATTAGCTGTGAATTCCCTTCCCCAGTAGTCCAAATCACCTGAGCATGGACTCATTGGCCTCATAGTTTTGCTGTCCTTGTGTTGCCTTTAAATTGAAACTTAAATCCCAATTTAAACTGAATTCTAGAGCCCTAAAATATTACGTAAAACATCAGTTAGGATTCTATTTGGTCTTGTGCCTCTCTTATCCTGACCCATTTTCCCATAACAGAAAGGTGCCTGGGTGCAGAAATCATATAACAACTTAATCTCTCCAAAACACAGTTTAAAACTAGGCTATTGATCGCAAAAATATACCAAGTAGCCCAATTATATGTTATAAAACATGAATAATAAAGGTGTTGATAATTCATGCATCAATAAATATATATTCATATTAGCAAAAGATAAAAAGGATTTTGATTAAATTAAGTGGATACTTCCAACAAAACACTTTAACAAAAATAAGGACTGGGATAGAGACACTGGGCAGCAGAAAGTAATCAATAGCAAACATGGAATTACAAATTACCATTTCCGACAAAATTAGGAACAAGCTAGAAATCCCACATCGACCCCTTTGGATGTCAGGGTTGATGCAGAGGTTCAAATGAATACACTAAGACAATGAGAAAATTGTTATTAATATTTTTAAACTAATTAATCTTCAGTGGCAGATAACATCATTGCAAACCTAAATAATTCTAGTATTTGTTGAAAACATTTCAATTAATTAAAATTTTGATAAGGTCCTAGGATTCAGTTAAAATGTAGACATTTGAAAGCAAGTTTTTCTTTATGTAGAAAATACTCAATTAGAAACTGAATAAAAATTGTTTAATTATGAAGTATTTAGAAAATACACTTGATAAGAAAATACAGGCCCTAAAACTGAAGAATAGGGAGAACCTTGTAGTATCTAAATAAAAGTCATAAAATTAGAGTAGAATTTTGGAAAGAAAAACTGGGAAAAAAGGAAAAGAGTATTTTTAGTTTACCTGTATCACTAAGATATAACAATAGCTAATTTTACACAGTTCGTAGCTTTTATTCACATGCATAATCACTAGGGTGGGTTTATGCATTTCCTAGACATCACTCAATCATAATAGCAGCTTTATGTATATGCCCCAGGACTTTCCCAAAGCCTTTAGTTATTTAATTCTTAATTATGAAGTTATTTAATTCTTATCTCAACCCTGGAAGAAAATATACAACGTAAACATGACAGAGGAGAAGCTGCTGATGACCCAGGTATCAAAACTTTTGTTTTCAGTCATTGTACCCTTCTGCCTCTCAAGTCACTGTTCTCCAATTCTACATGCGCATGCAATGCACTTGGTCGTCTAGGACATATAAACTAAGAGAAAATTTAGAAGAGATTGGGTAAGCGGAATCTCAGAGGTAACAGTTTGCCCTCTAATACAGAACGTGACAAACCGTGAGGGTGAGACTTGAAAGATACAGCCTCCTCCTGTTACACGTGGTTCGGAGAACTCTTGAGTTCCCCCTCAGATCGAATTCTGCCATCACCACACAATACAGTGCAATACAGTGACTAATATTCGTCAGAGTATTCTGGATACTGGGAAGGAATCTATATATTTTTTATAAGTACCCGAGTACACATTTGAAAAAAAAAATGTACCAGTGGCCACATTCCTTTTCCTCATCATTCTATCATGTCTGAAATTGATCTAAAAATACTTAAAAATGTAAGTGGCTGTCCTAAACATTCAACTTTTCAGAACTGCACATTCGTGGTGGGTTCTGAATAGATGATGTTTTCTTTTCCTTTTTTAGACAAGAACTCCCTGTAGCCCCAGCTGGCCTAGAACTCACTATGTAGACCAGGCAAGTCTCCATCTCACAGAGATCCCTCTGCCCCTGCCTCCCAGGTGCTCAAATTCAAGACATGAGCCACCACATTTGGCTTTATTGTTTTATATAAGCCTTTCTCCAATTATCTTTAATTCACTGTAGCTGTTTCATGATTCTATTTCTACATGTTAAATTCATTTAGAATCTTTCACAGAGACTTCATAGATGCTTATAGATACACGGTCCCTGAACTTTCCAAGCTTTCCTCCTAGTTCATTATGAATAGCAGAGAAACGTAAGTGTGTCCCTTACCGTTCCCCTGTGTATCCAGGGCTGCAGCGACACTGGCCTGTGGCAGGGTCACATGTCCCTCCATTATGGCACTGGCATTCCTGGGAGCAGTTCTTTCCAAAGCGACCCTCGGGGCAAGGCTGACCACACACTGTGCCCTGCATTCAAAGAGACTCAGAAAATTAGATGGGCCACCAGCCAGCACTGCATGGGAGGCAGAAGAAGAAAACAAGGAAAACAGAAAAGGAAGGAGAGAGATGGGAACAAGGCTACAAGAAAATTGGATCAAGGGAGTTTTAGAATACAAACCGTTCATCATCTCTAAAATGTGAGAAATTTTAAACTCACTTATCGACTTGCTAAGACCAAATCTCAAGACACATTTAAAGACAGCAGAAGAGTAATACTAAAACATTTTTATATTAAAAACTGAAGTTTAAGATAAAGTTATATCAAATTATTATGTCAACCGAAGGTATTTATAAATCCTCCTAAGTGCTCTTCCATGTGCCTTATGTGCATGATAAGTCAACAATTCTTATTGAGCATTCGCTGCATAAATAGCAACACCTGGTACAGAGTATACAAATGCTTTTCCATATGGTCCACATTATCATTGGCTTTTTTTCTTAAGATGTAACACAGCACAAGATTGAAATTTTGTGGACCTGAATTAACAGTAACATTACCTAAGACTACATCTACAGAAATCAGCATTTATTTCAGAAGAAAAAGATATTTTTCCACAGATTCAATAATCATTTTTGAGGCAGATCAATAGGAAAGCTTATTTCTTGAGAAGAAGAACTAAGTGAGTCACTTGGCGATTTCTCTTTTCTCTAAGGGGTATCCTTATCAAACACAGTCATGTTTATTCCAGTCCTTGGTGGGTTAGACTAAGACATAATATTAAATATATCAATGAAATAACCCATGGTTTTCTGCTTCTCTTAGCTACATCACTTGGGCTTGTAGTCTCTGAGTCATTGGAGTTATAATTATTAGAGTTATAATTAGAGCAAACAACATAACCCACACAACAGGGATCTCTAATGTTTTTAAATGTCAGGAGATGTTGCTTTGTCCTCTCACTCTCTCTCTCTCTCTTGCTCTCATAAAAGGAGAACAAAAAGACAGACTGTGAACACTCTGAAACTGGAGGCTGGTGAACACCAGATGGTTTTGTAAATGTTTGTTCTGGATAGCATAAGAAAATACATTTTCTCTAACTACTGGCTACCCACAAAGGCAGTTGGTGAGTTAATTAAGTCTCCTCTGGTGGTTTCTAGCTATGCACAAACAAAGAAAATTCTTCCACAGGCTCTTGGAACCATAAAAGTCTTGAGAGATGATTCAAATTAATGCTTAACTGAGAATCAGCTGTCCACCAGACATAGTACTAAGCACTGAGAATCAAAGGTAATTCACCAATACCTAGCTGGTTCACAGGTGGTAGGAAAGCAGATACTCCTCCGTGTGAGCACATCCCACTTACTTAGTGTAATACAATAACATTACTGAAGGAACAATGCACTGAGGCTCAGCAAACAGTGCACCAAGGGCTGGGCGTAGTGGCAGAGGTGCAAAATCTCATTCTCTCAGGCCTGACTCTAACTACACATAATAGTCTATCATAAGCTCCAGGGATGCTGCTGAAATGTTGTCAATGAGTAAAGCTTAGTGTGGGAAAGCAGTTTGAAGAATGACACTATTCCTAGTAGCTGAAACGTATGGGTGTGTATGAGAGGAAGGTGAGTTCGCCTATGGAAAACAACTGAAATGTAACACACATAAAAATGGGTAGGAGAAGTATAAATTGGAAGTTCAGTTACTTGAAGAGTGGTCAGACGCTTTTACTAAGAAACATCTGCTAAGGCCCAGATCCCAGAGGAAAGTGGTTCGGGACAGGCTCCAGCCGGCTCAGGGAGGGGTCCATCTGTCTGCCTCCTGGACTCATCATCCCAGGCTGTGGCTACCACTATCCCACATCATGACCTCCAGCTGACAAGGCAAAAAAATTCAACCTCAAGATGAGGCAACTCAATGGATAATAGCTCCACAAAGATCCCAGAAGTAAAATGTCTGCAGTTCCTCACCCAGAGAGCTTGGGGCTTCCTGAACACTGCCATTACAGCAAAATCATTCCCTTGCCAAGAACCAAGCAAAGGCCAGAGTTGACAAAAGGTTGAATATAGGCACTGATGAAGAAGAAGAAAGGGCGTTGAAGTTAATCCAACATTTCTACCACAAGCAGCTAAGAAATGTTGGGCTGCAGTCAGATAAAGCAGCAGAGGAGCTATGCCCCAAGGGCAGAGGCAGAGGATAGGTTTGCTTTTATGAACACGTGCCTTGCTGGGCCGGCTGGAACCAACTCACCACTTCTTCAATAACTTCCTTTCACCTCCAGGCCCTCCATGAAAAACCAGATCCACTAACTTCATTTGCTTATTGAGTTTCCCTGACACTTTGCTGCAAGAATCAGACTTTGTCTGCCCAGTTCACCATGTCCGACCTTCACATTGGGTCTGATATTCATTGTATGCTTGCCCCAGTGATCTTGACAAAGCTCTCTCTTAGTTCCTAAGAGAAGGGGTTCCAATTCTCATATGTTCCTGGCCTACAATTAAGAGTAACTCCAGATCAATTCTACCCCATCTGGCTGGAGTATTATGACTTAGGTGGCTGGCTGCTAGATATTATCACTTAGGTGAAGTCCAAGCAGTCAGTGACATGGTATCAATAGGTTATCAAGATTGGAGTGTATAATAGGAGAGTTACAGATTACATCTAAGCTCAGGGCTGAAAGATCAAGATTTGAGGAACTCAGCAGATGATTGCTAAAGTCATGGATCTAAACAAGGTTTCCAGAGAGGGTCTATAGTGAGAAAACAGAAGGGTAATACTGAGCCTAGGGACTGCTCTAAGCAACTGGGATGTAGAAGAAGGGGATTGGGAAAAGAGACCTTTAGTAGGAGAAATGGGGGAGGAGGTTATTGGAGAAGTGGAGGACAGTAAGATTAAGGTAGAGAGCTGGCCAGTCAATAGGTCAAAGCTTAGGAGAAGCAAAGCAGAATACAGACAAAAGAGACCTAGTGGGTCTAATGGTTAAGAAGCCCTAGAACCCCTGCGAGAAGCGTTTTGTTCACTGGTACACAGAGAAGGCCATGATAGTGCAAACCGCCCTTCTAAGACACTGCCTTCATTCAAGCAGACATATGAAAAACCACCTCAGAAAGATAAGCAAGCACCATTGTCTCCTGGTTTCACATGTATACTTCGTAACGCTTTGGCACTGTGTCTTCCACGTAGCACTAAGCCTACGATTTCACCATGTAAAGAAAAGGTACCCCAGTCAAAGTTTGGGAAGTGACATGAGTCATTGCCTCTGTGTACATTCTCTGAGAAATACTATAATACTTTAATGATCAATTTACTTCAGTAATTCAGATTTATATGACTACATACTTTTTCTTGTAACAATCTGTTGAAAATAATGTTTGCATAGAACAGCAGCAATGTCCAGAAACATAACTATGATGACAATTATGAATTAATTTCCACATTTATCAGCTGTAGCTATCATGTGTGAGATCAGATATTTATATTTGCTTCATTTTGGTCTAGGGGAATGCAGGGTAGATGGTCATTATCACTTAATGAGGATTCTTAATACACTTCAAGTGTATTATGTGTACACTTGCAAGATGCTACACTCTGGCTTCTCTGGGCTGAGGGATTCCATTTTTAAATGGCTGGATATTTCCAATGTGGAAATCATAACCACCATTGCTATTTTTTTTTTTGTTCTAAAGTCTTCCCTGTGTCTTTCATTTGAGTGTCCCAAAATGTGTGACCCTGGGGGTGGAGGTTGAGGAGACGAGACACTTACCATCCAGCCAGAAGGGCAAGAACACTCTCCAGTGACGTGGTGGCACACACCTCCATTTTGGCAGGGGCATCTCTGCTCGCACTGTGGACCGTGTTTGCCAGGGGGGCAAAGATCCTCACAGCTGAAGGATTTAATGTGACAAAAGATACTCCTGTTTACCCAAATTCATGATCCCCAGAGTCACAGACATGGCATCATTCAGAGTCCTAAAATATACCACCTGTCCTCATTAATTATTCATTTAATTAACATTCAGAACATTAATCGTATTGGCTGAAAATCATCTTTGATGAGCCACTGAGTCCTTTTGGTTTTGGGGTACTTTCTGCGTGCGTGTTTGTGTGTGCGCATGTGTTCAGGTACATGTGCCCATGTGCACTTATATGGCAGCCAGAGGAGGATGTAGGGTTCTCCTCTATTGGCAGCCACCTTATTCTCTTAAGTCATGGATTCACACTGACCTAGATAGAGCTCACTGATTGGCTAAGCTGGTGGCCAACGAGGTCCAGGGATTATTCTGTTTTTACTCATCCATCCATTCCCAGCACTAAGATTAGCGGTACCCATGCCCTCACCTGGATTTTTATGTGGGTGCTGGGGATCTAAACTTGGGTTATCCTGCATACACAGCAAGAACTTTACCCTCTGAGCATCTCCCCAGGCCCAGTTTGGGGGTATTTTCTAACAAAGCAATTCAGTGGAAGGAAAACTTGTCCTCTCTAGGGCCTCAGGAAGAAGAGTGGTCACGCACTGACAACAGGAACTTTGCACGAACTCTTACAAAGCTCTTGTGCTGAAGTCAAGCTTCCTTTGCTTCTTCTGTTTTTGTGCACATATTCTTCATGATGAGTTGTCAGTGTTCTCTTCTCCTGGATGACAAGCTTCATTCCAGCCCTACAGTCAGAGAGACCTTCTCCACTAAGCCTTCATTACTTTTGCTCTCCAACAAAACCGCTCCAAGTTCCCCACAGCCCTATTTAATTTTGGCCTTGATGAAAACCCATAAAAGTGATATTAACAATTAAACAGTTAGAGACCAATCATCTACTCTTCCTAAAATCAGGGCTGTCTAGGCTAATGCAGATCCTTCTGTAGCTCTGCTTTATGGACATTAACAGTGCCAGCAGGACATACTTAATCACACATTTTCCAAGTATTAGTTCTGTGATTTACAAGTGTAATTTTCTCAGTAAGGGAACACATTATTTTTTCTCTTACTTCTTTTGCCCAATTTTCCTCTTATTCTGTTTGCTAATAGAAGCAAACCAAAGAATGCCCTTCCCACAAAATAAAGTCAGGGAAATTAAGGAGTTGCTTAAGTGTTGTTCTTCAGGAAAAAAAAAAAAAAAGAAAGAAACTATTTTTGTGCACACATCCTAGTAGGTGTGATACGTATGTTCAAAAGAAACCTATGTACCCATGAGCATTAACTTACCCAGTTGGCCTTTCATTCTTATTATCTTTCATTATGTGCAAACATTTTGATCCTCTTTCTAAGGCTGTGAACCCACCTTCATTTATCCAGTTAACTGCCACAAGAGCAGAACCACCTGGACCACTATCATCCAGCAGGACCTAGTGAATTGAACTGCGGGAGATTTGCAAAAGAAACTCACACTTGCCTTAGTAACCCCAAATATCACCTTTCTCACACTATCCAGTGAACCTGGAAATCGGTCCTTACACCTTGGCTGGGCTCTGGCATTCAAGAGCCAAAGCAGCAGGAGGCCTTAGTGACCCATCAGTGCTGGTCGCTCTGTCTGTGCCTAAACCCAGCAGTAGCTACTCAGACAGCGATAGAAGCACAGGCATGTAATATCTGCTGTGCGGCTCCACAGTGCATCACTTACAAGGCTCCAGTGTATCCGGGTGGGCAACGGCACTCCCCAGTGATGTGGTTGCAAGTTGCTCCGTTCTGGCACTGGCATCTCTGGCGGCAGTCGTTGCCATAGGTACCCTGCTCACAACGCTCCTCGCAGCGCCATCCGCGGAAGCCTGCAGCGCAGTGGCAAGCCCCGGTGATGGGGTTGCACAGAGCTCCGTTTTTGCATTGGCACCGGCTGCTGCAGTGAGGCCCCCAATGATCACCATCACAGGCTAGAGTTGAGGAGGGAAACAGAGGGCACCAGTTTGGTGGTGGGTCTGGGCAGTTCAGAGTCAGCTCTCTACACCCTTGGTGACAACAGTGAGTCTTCATCATAACATCACCATTTTTAAAGATAGGGTTTCCTGTACCCCATGCTGCTCTCAAACTAGCTGTGGTGCAGAGAATGTTCTTGAACTTCTGATCCTCGGCCTCAACGTCCTAAGTGCTGAGATTACAGGTGTAAGCCACCACTTCAGACTTTATGCTGTGCTGGGGATTAAACTCAGGGTTTCCTGCCTGCTGGGCAAGCAGTCTACCAACTGAGCTGCATTCAAGCTCCAGATCCCACCAGTGGACATATTGCACAGCATGGCACCAGGGTACTCAGCCCCAGCTGGCAGCATGCATTGTATCACTTCCCTGCTCAAGCATCACCACATTTCCCATCTCCACACCTTCCCTTACCCTGTTCCCTAAACCCAGACTGTGGAGGTTGATGTAGCCAGAGCAATGATTGGCCTACCAAAGGTTGCAAAGGAAACAGCAAAGAACAGGGGAGGGGCTGCAGCTGGGAGTGACCTGTTCATGTCCGGGAATTTTATGGCCTCCTAAGTGTGAGGTTAAGACAGGAAGAGGTGGCAAGGAAAGGCGAAGGGGGAGCAGGAGAGTCAGCATACCTGAGTCAGCTGGAGCGGGCTGAGCCCAGCCATAGTGACAGTAAAGAGGAAGTGACCAGAAGCAGGGCTACAAGGAGCTGACTGGCCCTGCTGCAGTCTGTGTTGTCAAGAAATATGTGTGACTGGGTAATCTAACCACCTCCCAAAGAAAAGGCAGGACAAACAGAGACTAAATTAAATACTGGCCTATCTAGAAAGTAGGACCACTAGGCATAGTGGCACTCGCCTTTAATCCCAGTACTCAGGAGGCAGAAGCAGGCAGATCTCTGTGAGATCAAGGTCAGCCTGGTCTTTATAGTGAATTTCAGGCCAGCTGGGGCTGCAGGGAGACCTTGGCTCAAAACAAAACAAAACAAAACAAAACAATAAAACAAAAAGGGTAGGACCAACCTGAAATTGAAATTGGACAACCAGCAGAAAGATAATAGGTACACAAAACCACTGGAACAAAGGATGAAAACAGTGTTTCAAAGATGTGTTCAAAGTACAGTTTTGAATAAAAGGAAGGAAGGTTGCTAGACAGAATTCAACCAGTAGGAAAGAGGTTCAGGAAGGAAACAATCCACTCAGCCTTCCTGAAAGTCATAAGGGCAATATCAAACCCACCTTGCTCAGTATACATTGCCCCACCAGCCATGTGTTCATTTACTTATTAGATACATAAAAGTCATCAGGGAATATGTAACCCACCAAGAACTCTTAAGATACACTTTTTTTTGAATTAAAAACTACTGGGGGGGGGGAAGCTCTAAGTACATTGCAAACAATGCATTAGAAGTGCATGCTCCGTCTTCCAATATTAGAATCTACCTTGGATTGTGTAATATCAAAAGGTTTAAATGAATAATTCTGTTTTTAATCAGCATGGCTTTCGTCTCATTAGTATTTTAATAAACAGACTTTAACAGAATTAAAAACAATGAGAGAGAATTATTGAACTTAAAGCAGATGAAGAAAGCAATTATCTAAGAGCTCACAATCTTCTTTCACAAAATAAGATTAGGTGGTAATTCTAAAATGAGATTCAAACCTAATTATTATTCATATCAGCTGTTTCATTGCCTGTAGCTGTGGAAACCATTTTTT